AAAGAGAGCAGTAAGTGTATTTTGTATGAACCATGGTTGGCACATGATCTTATGTGTTCCGAGGTTCATCCTAGAATGCGCTTACTCCCATTGTCCGTAACACAATAGAATGATTCATAAAACTTCTACATGGGTAATTTTTAAAATAATTGTTCAATCTAATATTTTGTGGGTTCATTATCTCTGGAAGTTTGATTCCAGAGTAACCACAGTAAACAAAAAAAAAAAATGATGGAAGCAGTTCAGCTGCTTAAACTTTGAAATAAGAAAAAAGGAAAATATTGATGAATGGTTGGTAAATATATTAGTAACCAATTCATTTAAACTTATTTTTTATGGTGTATATGGAGATTTGAAAGATTTTCGAAGTGATGGAGAGTGATAAAACAGTTAGAACCGGATGAATTTTAAGGAATAAAATATCATAATTATTCGTTTTCTTTTGAAAAGAGTAAAGTTAAAGTAAAATTAATCCGGTGCACAAGTTAAATTCTCTTTCTCACTTGAAAATTTAATCTTGATCAGGGAAAATAATGATACGGTTGGGTTTGTAAAGAATAAGAATGTGGTTTGATGTTTATGATGACAATTTTTTTATTGAATAAAATCCTGGCCGATCCTCAATGGAGAGGGCCTTACATTCTACAACTTAAACATAATATAGATAAGCAAATAAAATTTTAAAAAATGTTTAAATAATAAGTATAAAAAAGTGTGATCTATTGATTTCTTACGTTTAATTTTTATGAAAAAAGAAACCAGATTTATCTTTGAGAATTACATTTACTATTAATTTGCGACAAGCTTGTTTTAACTCGTTAAATACAATTAAAAAGTCTGATGGAGAGAACATCCCATCTTCAAATGTTGTCGGTTTTAAAGTCTTCAACATGTAAACTACAGTTTCTTCATCAAAATATTGACATTCGGATATCAGATTCTTGCAAATGTTTTCAAACACTCTCACCAAATGTTGTTCGTTGTTCGTGCATTTGTCCACCGTAGCAAGGATGGCCGGAAACAGCGATAGTAGGTACAGCCAGCTGGCTTCTTGGAAGACGATTTGCCGGGCGTAGTAGCCAGGCTCTGGAACGGACTCCGTGAGGACCACGGATTTGGATTTGTAGAGCAGCTTGAACTCCAGGGTTCTCCTCTCAGACAGGACGATATCCGGACGAGTATCTTCTGAACCACGGAGATATTGACCAATCTCCCCAGAATTCAGTACAAGTTGCTGGAACTCACCAACAGTGAAGTCGATCCCATTTTCCACCGAGCTGTGTTTGAGGAATTTGATGACTGTAGGAAATTGTTCTTCCACTCGGTGACCAACGACTATTTGCTTGGCGCCATCAGGTGATAGATAGAAGCTGGTGTTAACCACTGTCCTTAGGATGAGAGAGCCAGGGCAGCTGAGTTTCTTGTCGGTGGACTGCATGATGAGGCGAGTTCTGAGCAGGTTCACAGATTGATGGTTCAGATGTTTCTTTCCTCCAATTTATATCGGACTTGGTGATGTATGAAGGCCGCTTTCTCAAAATAATAATGGCCTTCTTACGCCAATCTTGCGACAACAACAGGCCTGGATCTTCCTATGACTTACATTCTTGCCACATGACACCCTCTTGAAGCAAGTTTGATATTTGACCTTCAAGATTTCATCATTTCGTAGAGTATTATTGGAAAATAATCTCTGAAAATCAAGCAATGAGCGGCCATGGGCTCTAAAATATAAATATAGCAAGCAATACTGGCCGCATACGTTCGAATGCAAGCTTTGCATTTCTCTAGTATTATGAATAAGTTTACTGCTGGTGGTATGTAAAAATTTCTTATGGTGGTTTACTAATGGTGGCAGTCCATAACTGTCGAAATATTCACAGTTCCTGAATCTATCGATATAAATGGCTACCCAATGAGTACCAGGTTTTGAATCAGGGTCTGTATTTACCACAATACCACATGGAGTAGAGATAGCGTTTGGCAATCTATTTGCAGCACAAACCAGAGTATTAATAGGTAACGATTGGAGAGCTGTTGAAACCTCGAGAGAGTTCATTTTCTTGCACAAAATTTAGGCACTATAGTCGGCAATAACGTTGCGACTCTTATCTATTTCTATGACATTATCAAATTCCGCATAGGTTATGACTGTTATTGCTTCTGCTAGCGCATCACTGAACCTTAGTTCTATCCTCAAACTACCGTGGCGGACCAAACTCCAATGAGTTTTAATATGAGCCTCTAAATCAGGGGTAAAGTCTAAAGCGATCAAGCTGTATCCTGCCTTAAATTCCTCTCTGTTTATCTCGTTGCCTGAGTCTGAGTAATGTATCCCAGTGCCAGAGAAAAGAGAGTGAAAAGTTCGGACGTATTCGTGAGCGTCAAAATTTGGTGTTAGAACGACACCTGGAATTTGTTGGCCGTCGGTATGGAAGGAAGCATAATCAAGATTGAACGTTTGGAAATTAAACGGATTCTTTTCAATACCCCCGTTAAAAGCTGTGTTTAGCACCATACCCATAATAATACGAGTGGGAAGTTGGCCGCTGACTACATTATCCAGGGATGCACTTCGAACACCAGCAGGGATGGTGTTGGTTTTAACGTCAGCCCTGGTTATCGGGTACTTGGCATTCGTTTCTTCAAGTTCCTGAGCGTGACTTAAAAGGACACTAGGAGAGACTCTGACCCTTCGAGCAAATAAATTTGCTTCGATGACTTTAACTTTGAAACCATCCTGACCCAGCAAACAAAAAGCGTCTCTGGACCTTACAAACCTTAATTTCAAATCAACATTATTTAATAACATTTTATCCTGAGAGAAAATATCGCAATGAATACGGCCCATCATTTCTACAGTTTTGCTACGCTGACAGAACCCCCGCCTTTTTGTTAACCCTGAATTCCCCTCCGTCTCCATATTTCCTGCTTGATCCTTATACCATAAGATACTCGTTAAATGAGAATTTTTTGCACCAGGCCCGTAGCTTAGTAAGTTCTCAAGATATGCCCTATAAGGATACGCATTACTTGCTGATGATACTATTTTTTGATTCAAGTAAACATCAACTTGACTGAACAATGAATGCATCCAGTTATTAACGGGTCCTATCAAGGCATCATCAGCCGCAACCGTATCTTCGCCGTTATTTTTAACAATTTTAGCTTTGATATTCAACAAAGTATGAGAGAGATCTAAGTAATCACTACCCTGGCCTGGTAAAACAAATTCAATCGGAGTATTGTCTTGCAACGATGAGATTGGTTTATACTGTACCCATTGTCCATGCTCGATGTGAGTTTGGGTCGGGGGCAAAGAAAATAAGTCTAATTCTGATTTGGCACAATCACAACTACTGGAATGAACGAAAGACATGATTCATCTATTACCTATCCAAAAATATCGGCAAATTTATTTTCACTTAAACGCTTTTTACTCTTTTTAGTTTTACGCTGATTTTTATTTTTCCGAACTGTAACTCTTTTTTTTGACACTTTCTTCTTCTTCTGCTTCCTCCCTCTACTCTGTTCAGACGTCTTCCTCCACCGACAACCAACCCTCGAGTGAATAGCTTTCATCCTCTTTTCAGCTTTATACCCCCTGCCCCTGAAAATCGCATCTATCGCCTTCCGTTTTAGATTATTTTGAGCTTGACCTAGCCTCTGCTGAAACGCAAATTTTGCAGGCATGTCGTTCTCAATATCTTCAAGGAAATTAATTCCCGAGTGCATGAGCTCTTTGCCGACAACAGTAGCTCCTCTTTTAAGCAATGGCAAAGAGGATCGAAAAAGGCCTTTGAGAAACGTTCCGACGCCGTGCCCTCGTTGGTTGGGTGAACCGCGATAAACAGTGATAGTCCCTAAACCACGCTGAACCATTGAATCACGGAACATGATGAAAAGTAAGAGAAATAAAAATACAAAAAATAAACAACGCAAAACTTTACTCTTCACTCATTTGATCTTGCGGAAATGAAGCTTCACGTTCAAACTTCCTCTCACAAATGGTACATACTTTCCAAGATCGTCCCTTACATCAATTTCGATTTGTTGAAAATCTCTTTTCAGAACACTGCTGTAATGAGGATGAGTGAAAATACTCACAAACTGTTTGCCAGTATTTTGTCGATTTTATAAAATGTATCTTTTTTAACAGACACGGGTTAGAGTTCGTGTTCATAAAACAAACCATCAATAATTTCCCTCTTTGTCATCTCTTAACTCGTACACTGGGACAGCCCTTTTGATAATATCACACTAAGAATTTTTCCCAACTCAGTTTCTTACGAACAGCACCCACTTTAGGAGTCTCTGCACTCCTTGATCGCTTTACAGGCGTAGGAGGCCATAGTGCAGCGTACGCAGGAGAATCAGGACTCAACTCCTGCGAGGCAAAATTACGAATGAGCTCCCAACGCTCTGGATTACCTATTAATTCTTGTGGTACATTCATTTTAGCTAAAACCGAGTAAAATTCACGATGACCCGTAGGTATACGTGAGTTTTTTCGATTGCGCATTGCATCGTTCACTAGATCTGCAATATTAGACCCCTCGATTGCTTTACCCTCGATCTTAACTTTCCCATCTCTACCCCACTTAATCCTGTCATTTTTCTGTAATCTTTTTAATAAAACACTACCCTTATTCCTGAAAGTTTTTGGAAGTGTGTTCAAAATATCATCAGACGATGATTCTCCTCGATCCTCTCGCTCAGGTGTTGGAGTTGAAGGTTTTTCGTTGGACTGCAAACTTTCCGATGATGATGTTGATGATTGATCCTCGAAGGCATCGATTACCAGCTTCAAGGGTTTCTGTCTTTGCTCAGCAAACCTCAAACTACGCTCCAACACCTGCTGATACTTAGCCCACTTATCCGAATCGTTTAAGTCATGTGTGGCAAGAATGCGTGATAGCTCCTTGTGCAACTCGTGCAGAGGATCGTTCGAAACGGGCGTTTGTTGCAGTCTTTCAACTG